CGCTTTGTCTTCTGCTTCTTCGTCTTCGTAAACGCATGAGCCCACTGCTGTTAACGCAATGGTCCCACTGTGGCCGCGGGAAAAAAAACAACAACGATGCCACTATTCGAGTATTCTGGCTGCTCGGACGTCTCAATTAACTTGGAAACAAGTGAACATTTAGTGTAATGGCAAAGAACAAGAAAATTGGAGGGACCATCGGCTCGGTGTAGACCCGCGAAACAGCATAAAATGTTTTAGTAAAAAACTGAGCTTGGTAGTGCTCAGTCTTCTGCATAACGTTTTTTTTTTTCGGTGAGCGATAGTTCTCTAAAAGGTGTTTCATTCTGGTTGACAGCCTGTGTATTCGGTTTTATTTTTATTTGCGCAAGCTCCGAACGTAAAAATCGCCCCATGGAAGAAGCTTTTTTCTGCGGTCTTGGTTGGTGTTAATGCAGAATGGATCAGTAACGTCAGCCTAATGGACCACCACAAAATGGATGAGGTTCATTTGTTACATTTATGGCAGTAAACTTTGCACTTCTAAATTGGGTTATGTGGTGTTTTCGTGTTTGTACGAAGAAAAAAAAAAAAAAAAAATGAAGGCTGCTTTTGAAAAAAGTTGTTTTATTTCAAGTGATGTATATTGGGAATCGCTGCTCTTTTTTTAGTGATTCTTCTGTTTTGAAGCACAGATGTGCTTGAAACATGTCGTCACAATAACAGTTATAACCACCAAAATATATCTAGCGAGAATTGAATTAAAAACGGCCTCTGGAAAGCAGTGCGGAGGTCCTATTTGAGATAGAATAACGAGAGTGAATGCTCAGAGGGATTCCAGCATACGGAACACTTCGGCACGCTCTATGTCTCGTGCCCTGTAATTTTACGCATTTTAGCTAAAATGCGTAAAATTACAGGGCACGAGACATAGAGCGTGCCGAAGTGTTCCGTTTGCTGGAATCTCTCTGAGCATTCATTCTCGTTAGTCTATCTCAAATAAAACCTCCACACTGCTTTCCAGAGGCCGTGATTGCACGTCAGCTAGCTGACGTGCAATGGAATGGATATAAATTATGAAGCAAATCGCAAAACAAATCGTAAAACACTATTTTTTCTGCCGCTCTGTCCGGCTCTGTTTACCTTTCTTTGCCATGCTTCCTTCTTTTGGGAAGGCATAATATCCGAGGCCTTTTTGCCTGGCGCTGTTGTGTTAGCTCCATGGCATACGACAGGTGAAGCCACCAATTGAAAAACATGAATAAATACCCGGCTAAAAGTCTCGTGCTAACCCTAAAATTCTCAAACACCGGGCGTACAACGTGCATTGACGCAGCCGGAACACTGGGGAGAATTACAGGTACCAGAATGCACCGCGGCAGTGGTTGCGTGGCACAACTCCTGGTGAGATCGGTCTATTGTGACTGCCTTGAAAGCAGAAACATGTTCAATTGTGTCGATGTATGGGGGAGGGTGGTTGCACTCTGAACAAGTTTTTGGCAAGAAAGAATAAAAAGAGACGTTAGTGCTGCAATGAGGTATGCCAACTTTGTATTGGTGATCAACCCAGGATGAAAGGTATGAAGGCTGTAAAAGGAGTTCCTGTTTTAGCACAGGGTTTTGAAAAAATAATTTATGAAAAAGAGAGACACACAATCTTTCTTTGTAACGTTAGTTCAGGAATACCAGCATTAGACTTCATTAGTGGCGTGCTAGCAAGACGGTAATAATTAGAGTTAATAAAACGGGCTAAGTAATTTTGAACAGATTAAGTGGCATCAGTGGGATTCATTAGAGCCCAAGACAATTACTTTGAACATTGCCATTGCATTACCGATGTTTTGTACATGCCTTTGTCACTGGGATTTGAGCATATAATTGATTGTTATAGAACTGTTTAAGTTTGTAGCTCAATCCGAGGTTTCGTTCACATGTACATGTACCCTGATCTAGCATGTATGTTTTTCTGCAGAATTCTTCCCCTGTGTTACCAAGTGTTTTTGTTCTTGTTTTTGTTTCCAGTTATTCAATGCCTTGTACCACTCATCCTTGTACCCCATACGCTTAGTACCCCCCATCAATAATATGTTATTGATAAGATATGCAGTCTTTCAGCGGTTTTCCTATTTGCAGTTGTTTTTGTAGTTGTTTTCACATAAATTTTTGTTGACTACTCTATTGTCATATTTATTGTGATTCGTGTCTATTTTCATGTTCAGAAATGCTCAAAGCGGGATCCCGATAGGTGTATGGAGACACAAAAAGCTCGGTTTCAATTGTTTGACCTTTGATCTTCAAGAGATGATAATGTCAGGTTGTCGGTCTATTGTGTTTTGAAAGACCGCAGCTGTTCAGATCTCACGCTTCCTCATATTTGATTCCGGAGATGACGACAGCAGCTCCGGGAAAACACCCACGTGGAAGTATTTGCTCTTTTTTTTAGGAATGCTGAGCTTCCAGATAACAGCTCTCTTGGTTCTCTGGGTCATTGCCTATCTCTTTTTGTGTTGTTAGCAATGGCATTTTGCTGTAGCATCACAGTGCTGTTGCTATAAATTTTAAAATCTGCTGATGTTCATAAGGATGTTGCATATTACAATATTTCTATGGCAACATATGTTGCCATTATCAACACTTTGACCCCTTCTAATCTTTTGAGGCAATGGCTCATTTAAATTTGTGTCAGGGATGCAACTGAAAGTGTTTCTTGTAAGTATTCCCACATTGTGCACAATCAACTTTTTTAGAATGGTTCATCATTTGCTATCTTTTTAAAGTAAAAATTTTCATAATTTTTGATGAAGAATCTTTTTTTTATTGTAACATTCCCACCAGCTGTAGTGATAGAGTGGTCAAACCACCTTTCTATGTAGCCTCTTTTAAATATTTTTAGCAAGCAACACTTGTGTTGGGAACAAGCTAAAGGAAGCTTGTTCAGTTGGCTTTGTGATGAACATTGTCAAATAATCACCAGCATCTGGATAGACCGATGTGGCCTAAAAAATCAACGAATTTGTCATTGTAGGTCTAATTATTTGTATTATACACTTTTTTTCATTAATCCTAGGGCCCCTTATCCGACATTTAATTTTTAACAATCTAGAAAAAAGTTTGAATGTCAACTGAAACTTGTTTGGAAATGTTTCTGGCTATGTAGCTGTTCCTTACATACATTTTAAAGCTTAGTTTGTGGGCACCAAGTGGAACCAATTAAGCAGTTATCAATTCTATACTCTGTTGCAAGGGGGGCACTAGCGTAAATTTTTAAATATAAAAAAAAAAATGCAGTTTTCAAATTTACTTTTTGGGTTTTATAAACTAGTAATGCACCCGTTCAGAAAATTTTGAAAGTGTACTGAACATTTATGTCAATACAAAATATTTTCAACAAAACAGCTGCGCGCCACGTTTTGGAGCCATTCCGGTGAGCTATCAGCCAACTATTATGGGCTGTTTTCAAACACCAACGTCTTTGTGCTCTATGTATGAATAAATCCCTAATCAAAGACCCTAAAAAAAAAAAAAAAAAAAAGAAAAAGAAAAAAGAGGGCTAGGTGGATGGTGCAAGTTGATCTGCATGGTCATAAAAAAGTTAACAAACAATTATGCATATGCACTAAAGGTGCGTGCCCCAAAAGTTCAAGCGATGCAGAAAAGTGTGTTTAGCAGCCTCCTTCATTCTTACTCTACTGATGAGGACTCCCACTATGAGGCCTCCCTCTAAAGAAAAGATTCTTGGTGCCATCCCTATCAGCCTGCATCACTGGAGGCAGTGTGGAAGCCACAGCTGCACAACCCTGCCTGGTTTAGGGAAATTGCAATTGATGCTCCAAAATGAAGATTCGGAATGCGAATGAGTCATTCAGTGCTCTGGACTAGAGGTGGTGTTTTAAGACAGACTTTGTGTCTCGAAGAACGGTCGAAACGTCAGTTCTACTCGCAGTGCTCGAGTTCTACTTGGTCCTAAGGGCTTTGAAAGGGATCTTTTCGAGACTGGGATGGAGCCTGGGAGTCACAAGATGCAACACTTTGACAAGGATATGCAATCCTAAAGCAAAGCAGAAGGCACATCGCAACTATGGCAACATAGTAGAACACACATGGCATAGTGGCCCACAAACAAAGGATGCTGCAAGCAATCCTCAAGAGACAAAACAACCGGGCAGCTGAAGGACAGACCTACTTTGCTGGGGCCTTTTAGAGGACACAGATTGTGAGAAATTAATAAAGTAAAGGGTCTCAATGTTTGAATCCATTTTTCTCGGCTTCACTTTTTGCTACAAACTTCTTACGAAGGAATCTTTCGCCCGACGGTACAAGGATTCCTATGCCTTGTTCCAGACGTTTATGAATTGAAATTTACTGGGGGATCCAATTTATTTGATATTGAGGTAAAGTCCTAACGAAGAAAAGTGATGTATTGACAGATCGGTATGCAAAGAAAAGGGCTCCTCATTTATGGGGGTAGTTTTTCTTTTATAAATATTTACTGTGTAATAATATCAACTAGATAGCCTGAAGTCCTACACTCCTTACTTTATATTCAAGTATTAAAATTGCAGTTCATTGGCTTAATTTGCATTCCATAGTTTTCTTAGGGAACAGTGCTGGGAGCTTCATGCACAAATAAATGCCTAGCTCCTAAAAATGTTTCCCTAGGAAGGTCGAAATTTGCACAGTAACCCTTTATGTGACCCTCAATATCCCCTGCAAATTCCATTACAATTGTAAGAGTAATTAAAAAAAATAATTTTCAAGCCAATTTAAATAAAACCAGGACAAGTTCCTCCCTTCAAGCCCTCCATTCTTTCACTTTAGCAGAGCAAACGCTGGGGAAGAGAGTGGACCTGCCTTCTCTATCGCTTCCTCTTTAGCATTCGCCCCACTAAAGTGGGAAGGGTGGACGCCTTTGCGGGAGGCACTTATCCTGCTGTCCTTAACCTGCAGCAGAGTATACCTTTTTCTTTTTTTTTATACGTACAAGAGGTAGTAACATTTGTTCTTCGTTTGTGTCTTTGCAGTGAGGGGAGCCAGGTTCACCGGGACGACAGGTAAGATCGCTTCAGGCGGTTTCCCTGTAAACGCCTCTCAAAGGGACACTGCATGCTCGGAAAACATTTTGTTGAAACTTCCTGGGTGTAATCTCGCAAATGAGTGCTAAGTTTGTATTGCGAGATGCCATTTGTTGGAGCCACAGATGGAGCTTGTGAGCCGACGCTCCTCTCCACTTTTCCTTCTCGCGCCTGTTCACATTACAAGGAGTGCGGAGGGCAAAGGTGTGGGGGAAAGGTCCTCTGCTCTTTTTTTCAGCCACTGGGAAGCTGACTAAGTGACTTTGATTTTGAAGATCACTGTGATGTTGCTATACTTTTGAGCCAGTGCGTGCAAAATAATGAACATTAGCAAAGGTTTGACACTGATGAATTCTTGAATCGTCTATCGCAGCTTGTGCCATAAAGTGTGGTCTTAGCCACATTGTTTTTTTTTGGTATTCTCGGGATGCGCACCTGAAATGTTAGAGGGACTCTAGCTGACAATCAGTATTTATTAGGAATGTGCAAATAGTAGATTTTGAGTTTCAAGTGAATTCAAAGCAAATAGTGGTTTTGGTTGAATATTTTCAAATCGAATATCACATAGTCTCTCCAAGGCCTTCACTGCCGTGTGCCATGCTTAAACGAAAATTCAGCTGAACTCGTAAAGGTTGTTTCCTACCTAATACTTGTCCCCTTCGAAGCTCAGTTAATTTACTATAGCTATCTTTATGACTGTGACGTGTAAACATCAAATTTGTCGCAGCTATTCCAATGAATGGGATTTATAAATTTGCTTGCTATATGCAAGTTTTTCTTCAGTTTAAAATTTGACAAAAAGAAAAGTGTGAATGATGAACGAGGGTTGTTTAGGCATTGCTGCGTTACATATACTTTTGCACAATCGCGGCCGTGAGCCCCGTTGAGTCCGCTTCTCACTGAGCTTCTGTGCACTGCGGGGAAGCAATACCTGCAGAGCCCGCAAGCTTCGTGTGTATTGCTTCCCCTCAGTGGGCAAAGGTGCTTGGTGAGAAGCGCACTCAACGGAGCTCACCCGCCGCGATCAACACTTGGAAAAGTGTGCATATTGCAGTTCATCTCGAAGCGAATATCGAATAGCAAATTATTCGAAACTACTATTAAAAAATTTGGATATTCGCAGAGCGCTAGTTTTTGTGCTTGCCGAGATGTTTACTGAAACACCATTTGCACCGGCCCAGCTACCCGGCAGGAATATTTGTGCCTCAAAATTTGACCTGTTGCTGTACAAAAGCCATTGTGCAAGAATCAGGTGTTTAGGCGCTTTCTTAACTTTTTTTTCATAGTCACTGGCAGTCATGTCATAGTGCACAAAATATCTTCTAAGTTGTAGGTCATCTAAAGCATATGGTATATTAGTTTCAAGAGAAGGAATAAAACACAACTTTGATTTAAAGAAACCTTCAATGCATAGTTGCGAAGAGTCGCTCCCATTGTTCAGTTGGAGATATCATAAAACTGACAGTTTATGACATCACCAACTCGTGTTGAAGTGCATCATTGTGCAAAAAAGTATCTCCATCAGGGGCTTCTAACCTGCAAGCTCTGGGAGCAGTGTGATTATGCTAACCACTGCACCATTGGTGTCCTGTCACCTAATATTTCATAAATAGCAGCAGTTGACTCTTGGCCTACCCCGCTTTAGATTCTAAGTAGAGGTTTTGCAGAAAAATGAACCTGCTTGCGAGCATTCGCTGCGGTACTTTTCGTTGTAGCCGTGGGCATGCTGTAGTTGAGGTTGTGGTGTGGTGTATTTCTGGTCTTGCAGGGCAATTCAACAGCTATGTGAACCTGAAGCTCCAGAATGTCAAGTCTACCACCGTCGCAGTCAAGGGCACCAACCCAAGCTGGGAGCAGGACTTCATCTTGTGAGCTTGTGACACTTTTGTTCTTTTCCTCCTTTGCTTTCAACGCTCTGGCCACAAGGTTGACACCTGATGAGGCCTTTGCATGAAACACTGGGCACTGCAGCAAAGCCTCCGAACTTTGGGGCTCCACTAGACAAGCCGACTGGATCATGGAGAACATTCCTTTTGTCGCCGCTACAGAAAGGAAGGAGGCCAAGTATCCCAAGGGGTCAGCTACAGGGAAGACCTGAAATCGCCGAGGCATTTTAGCTGCCTTGGCTACTTTAAAGCAGTGCACAAGCCAACGGATCCCATTTGGCGAGTTCGAATCCCGCTTCAGTTGCCCACAATTCGGCGCAGGCTTTTTGTGGGGAAGGCTCTAAACTTAAAGGGGCTGTGCAACAATTTTCAGACTTTGGCCAATTCACTGCGGAAATTAATCTGCGTCACCTATGGAACGAAAAGCAGAAAACCATATTTTCTTGCGAGCGCTAGTTCTTATTTAAAAAAGAATAAAACAAATCGAAGGTCAAAGTGCCTCTCAATTCTCCACGTCGACTTTCGAGTGACGTACTCTGGGGGTTCACGTAGTTTCTCCTTGAGTCCTCTCTTCAGAGACCAGCCGCCTCCTCCACGATTATCGACTTTTAAAGGCTTAGCATCGTTAAAGGTCGCGGCGAGCGATTGACACAAAGGACGGTTCGCCACGGAGCTGACAGCGGAGGTAGCAGCTGAGGAGGACAGGTTTTGTTGACTTCCGCGTATCCCCCAGAGACGCTGTCATTTTAGTTCCCGTAACCGCGACAGGCGGCGGCAGATGGGCAAATAATTTGTTTTTTGCTTTGCAATTACGCAGCAGAATAGCAGTTTTTCGGGTAAAGGCGACACGTTTTTTGGTCACTTGGGCTTGCATAAACAATATAAAAAATGTTAACGGTCAATTCTTTCAACATAAAAATCGCTGCACTGCCCTTTTAAGGGCTGGGGCCCATACTCTTTGCAGGCATTTCACGTAACTTCTGGGTAGTTGCCAGACATAGCTATGACAGATGACCACGAGGGGGCAGTTCGCTCTTCTTTAACTGCTAGGGAGGCTCAAGTGAGGGTGGGCGCAACTCAAAACCTGGAGAGCTTTTGCAATTTAATGGCGGCGCCTGAGGGAGAGGATTCGAGAAAGGATATGCGCCAATGTTGCCTGCAGGAGAGCAGGCGCCAGCTCTGTTGCAACTCTGTTGCTCCATGCACCTTTCCTCCTCTCGCCTCCCATTGCAAGCAACGAACGCCTTGGCGTAGCCTTCCTCGCTTCCTTCTCGCTCCGAGAATTGCAAACGTCGAGAGGAGAAAGCAGGGTTGCCAGACAAGCAGCAACGTTCAAGATGGCGGAATTTACCATTTTTCGCGTTAAAAAAATACTTAGCTTATCGCAACAAAACTGGTGGCTATGGAAACGTAATCATTTATACCTTGTGTAAATTATTCAAGCACCTTAATTGGCTCTTATGACCTGAGTTAGGAAATAAAACGACCCTTTGCCCCATAGACCCCCAGCAAAATTTAGCAATTAAATGGCGTCCATGTCCCGTGATCCCCGATCTAGCAGTTGCACCCACCCTCACTTGAGCCTCCCTATTAACTACTGCACTTTATGGGCTATAGTCCACAGAGTAAAATTTTTGTTTAAAAAGAACTTTTTTTTTCATAGATGGTCCCCTCCCAAAGCACTCTCCACACTTGGTGAAAAGTCTGCATCTGACGCCTGCTCTTCATTTAAAAAATTCTCCTACACAGCGTACCTTGAAAAATGGCCGCTCTATTAACGTACAAAAAAAGCTTGTATCATACAGAAATCATCATTAACATAATCTGTCGTTCACAGAATTCGTCATGCCTCGTCATAACGAACGATATTGAAAGATAAATTCGTGTATTGCCCACATCTGGAGATAGTCCATCCCGCATAAAATTTAATCTTTTAAGCATGTGGATTATAGTGCATAAAATATGGTACATGTTCAAATGGACAACCCTGTAAGCCATGGGAGACCCACTGACGCCCGTAGAGACAGTGTGAGGACTTTGTCTCAGACGATTGATTTCGTGTTGTGGTGTCCTTCTGTTGTGCAGCGAAACCAACCGCATGGACACAGGCCTGGTGATTGAGGTGTGGAACAAGGGCATGCTTTGGGACAAGCTGGTGGGATGCCAGTGGCTGCCACTCATGGGCATACAGTACTCGACAGAGGTCAGTTTGGCACCACCCACACCCCCCGGATCTACTGTCGTGGACAATATGAGCTACAACAGCCCCCTAAACTCACTGAAGGCCAGCTGAACTAGAAAAAACATACACATAAAGAAAAAGACCATTCACATTGCTAGACCAACAACTGATTTTCTTTTTCCTCCTCTTCTACTACGAGCCACACTTGAGGGAACAATTTTCTTTTCCTCTTTTTTGCTCTCTAATTCACCCTAAGCTCCGTTGGTAATAACTTTTGGCACAGACTACCGTATTCCCTGGTGTATAAGTCGTGGTTTTTCATCAAACATTTTTCTTGGTGCGTCTTGTGCAACAATGCGACTTATGATGCGGGTTCTTTCAAACAATTTCACGGTGCAACACCATGTTTTTATGCTTCGCTCGCCTTCTTTCGTAGAGCACTGTAACTACGTAGCCGTAGGTGGTGTCGCCCTTTCCAGAGGCACTGGTGTCGCCTCACCCTTGTGCATTTTTCATAACTGACTCGGAAAGCGAGGAATTTGACGGTTGCCCCGAAGCGGCTCACTGTTGACAGGCAAGGCAGTGAGAACAAAGCTTTACAGCATGTTATCGGTGTTGCCTAATTCAGCCATGGTTCCGTATCCTTTTGCTTCAGTCCGGTAACACTGAAAATTAAGTGGGCTGGTATACACGCGTTGCAGAAAATTTTCTCGCTTCCGTTGGGTGAGCAGTTTTTTTCATCTGCTATGCTCCAGCCATGTTGCTACATGTAGGAGGGACGATTGCGGCTAGCCAATCTTTTAGCAGTGCCGAAAGAAGTGTATAGAGATTTATCTATCTGCCTGCGCATCGATGCTTGCATCGTCTCCGTGACTTAGCCTAGGCTAGGCCTAGTGGCCCAAAGCTTGGTTCACGAGTGTCTGGCATGTTATTCGTCTGCTCGGCATGTGTACACTCGAATAAAGCCGACTACTTTTTCATTTTCCACGTTTTACGTTTTGCTGCAAAACACTCGATTGCCCCCACCAGACAGCGCCGTGCTATGGGCATTTCTTGTGAGTAGGAAGGTCAAATTTGTTACGTGTCAAACGGTATGTGTGAACTTGCCGATTGTGCAAAACTCCGATTTCGTTATACCGACGCGCTTAAAAAGAAAAAATTTCTTGCGTGAACTGTGCAAAGAGGTGCGACTTATACAAAGGTGGGTAGACTTCAAGGCAGCTAGCACTGAGGTCTACCCACTGTCCTCCAAATCGGAGCCAATCTGAGCTCGACATTCTGACGTCAGAATAACCCCTGCGTAAGAAGCAGACGAACTTGCGCTCCGCATATCAACTTTTCTGCGAAAACGGCTGAATATAAGGAAGTGCCACTTATGCAAAGGTGCGACTCATAGTCCGAAAAATATGGTAGGACTGGGATACAAAGTTCAGGTCCTGTTCCTTGAACTCCTTGACAAATTATGTAGGGTGTGCGAATAGTGATCCGAACCGAATAGTGCAACGTCAACCCTAGCTTCTGCACTGTTGAAAAAATCGACCGTCTTGACTTTTCCGTACACTGTTGAGGCTGTGAACGATGCAGGGCTGTTCGATTCGAACCACTCTTTGCAGAGCCCTAAAATTACATGTTATTGAAACTCTTTGGGACTGCAGGCATGGCAGAAAGCCAAGTTGAGTGTTGCAGCGTAGTGTCTGGAAGGGGAAGGGGGGGGGGGGTACTCTCTGTGCCTAGGGCTTGACTCCCTCCCTCTGCCTACTAGTTTTATTCTTAATTTGTTTTTCTGATGTTTTCAAGTGGCAAATACAAAGGCCTGTCAGAGGCTTTGCTGCCTTACATTTCAGCAGAAAAAAATTAGGTGTATGAGATAATATATACATGACTGACTATAAAATTGTAAACAAAAACAAGCTGGCACCATATGCTAGCAAAAGCCACAAACTTTACTAGCACATGCCAAGCATTGTAACAGCACTACAGTGGCATATCCAGAAATTTTTTTGAGGGTGGGCTGAGGTGGCTTGGATGTCCATGACTTGGGGTGTGGGGGGAGGGGTTTTGGGGGGGGGGGGGGGGGGGGGGAGGGGTGCTAACGCCCCATAAGGCCCCCCCCCCGGCTATGCCACTGCAGCACTATAATGGGTCACTGTTAAAACCAGCATTAATATAGCACACAATAAAAGAAATAAAAAAAGTACAGAATCTTGAGAATGCCAGTCAGGCCTCTGCTATCTGATGTAGCATAAAGGAAGACAACAATGAAGTACAATCTTAAAAAGTGTTACATATTGCTGTGCTCTACATTGTTTTCCATGGCCTAGGGGAATTCATTTTTCTTTAAAGGGACAATAAAGTTGGTTTGTTTGTCTATTTAACCTTTAACAGTCCTTAAGGAGCATTATATGAAACTGGCATTACAAGGTTGCATTAGATACATAAGATTCATTAACAGGAATTGTACTCTTAGGTCAAGTGACACACAGACTTAAAGTGATTTTCAGTTTGATTTTGTCGTTAATGTAACACACAGCACAGGTGTTCTCTGAGTATATATGTCAAGTTTTAAGCAAACGATAAAAGGCCTGAAAGTACTTATCCCTTCATACATGCTTTTGGTGCTAACAAGTCCAGCCAGCGGATAGCATGAAAAGAGGATAAACAATTTGCTTAGTGTTAAGCATGTTGGTTAGCAGGTGGATGCAAATGAAAGAACTGCACAGAAGGACAACAGATAGAACGGTGGACCTCTGCATATCTTTAGTTTCTATATAATAGTGTTGTGCAAATATCAAAGTTTATGAGTAGTAGCTTAGAAAATATAATATTCAATATTTGCTTTGAAATTAACTGCAATATTCGTACATTTTGAAGTGTTGATCGCGTCGGGTTAACCCGTCGAGTTTGCTTCTCACCGAGCACTTGTGCGCTGCGGGGAAGCAACACCCGTGGAGCTCACGGGCTCCGCAGGTATTGCTTCCCTGCTGTGCACAGGTGCTCGATGAGAAGCACACTCAATGGGGCTAACCCACCGTGGTTATGCAAGAGCATATGTTGGGCAGCAATGTCTTGACAACCCGCATTCATCATTTGAGCTATTTTTTTTTTCTTAAGTCAGATTTTAAATTGAAGAATATTTGCATATAGCAAGCAGATACTTAAATCCCCTCGATTAGGATAGCTGCGAGAAATTTGTTGTTCAAATGCTTTTATTCGTGAATAGTTACGTTAAAATTAACTGAGCTTAGAAGTGGACTAGTGGAAGTTTGGGAACGACTTTCACGAGTTCAGCTGAAGTTTATTTAAGCGTGGTGCACTGTAGTGAAAGGCCTGGAGAAACTATTCGATTAGAAATCATTCGGCCAAAACCGATATTTGCTTCGAATTTGCTCGAATCTCAAAATCAACCATACACACAGGTCTACCGTTTAATCATTTTGCATTTGGACAGACAGAGGGAGAAACAGAAAACGGGCAGTTTTGTGTCGCCCGGCTCGAGACTTTAGGCTTGCGTCAGTTGGCATGCTCTCTCTCTCTTTTCTCGGGTGCTTTTTGACGGTCATTTGTTTCTGCGGGAATTCCCAGGTGGGGGAGGGGGAGTGGCTTTCCCTGGACTCTGAGCTCATCCTGGCTGACGGAGAAGTCCGCGGGACCAAGAACCCGACCGGACACAGCATTCTCATCGAGGCGCACTTCGAACTACCCTACGGTCAGTGCTCACTTTCTCTTTCCGGTTTGTAATTGAGGCTCAAAAAGTGCCCAAAGTGTCGACTTTGTGTCTTTCGCAGCCCTTTGAGCGTACGAAATTGTAAGCGGCGCATCCTGGCTGCCGTCATGTCTTCGCTCATGGGCAAGCATGTGCATCGGCAAGCTTGCCAAAGTTACATTCACGCATACTAGTTACAACTCATGCTTGAACCCTTGAAATGCTAGCCAGGTTGCCATGCTTGCAATCATGTAGTACTGTACAACTCGGTTTACTTGGATCTCGCGGGGCCGGCAAAACGTCAGAACTGTCTAAAAATCGAAAGGTAGAATAGACAAAGAAAACAATAAGAAAGCGTTCTTTTTGTGATCTGTGTTTATTTCGCATTGGATTGTGTTATGGTTTCCCGCTTTTTAGATGCAAATTGTGAGATGACAACAAGTTTTTTGAGGTCATTCCATTGCTGCTCACTGTTGCAGGGGTTGTAAACAAATTTCTCTTACCGAGCAAGGCCCTTCGTGGCTGCTTTCGTGGTGTGATGCGGGGACGGCTGCTCGAGCGTATTAGGCTGTCCTCAAATGAAGCACGCTTTTTTTTGTTAGCACACAGAACATTTTTTAACATCTGTCAGTGGCAAGTTGTGCAGTTACAAGGCGTATGGCGTGAACTGCACAAACGGAGGTGGAAGAGAACACGAAAATCGCTTGACAACTGATCGTTGTGGTATTTGTTCAGGAATTTTGTTTCGGCTGCACATTTGAGCTGCCTCCACCCGAGTCATTCACTATTATCATGGTGGTGCTTACTGTGCTTCGTAAGGCTTCAAGACTATGCATTCACAGTGCACTAGTATGTTTTTTGTGGTGAAGTGAAACTATACCGACCCACAGCTCTATGGGGGCCCTTCAGATGGATTTCGCATTGTTTTTGCTCCGCAAATTCTTCAAACTCTTCAGAGGTGGCGTGAACTACACAATGCATGCCCAGTAACAAGTGTCTAGCATCATAGGCTTATATATACTGTAAACGACTTATTTTTCGCACGCTCAATATTTCGCAATTTTAGGAAAAGCTGAAGTTTTGGAATAATTTGCAGGTTCTAATTTTCGCGTCGTAGTGGGATATCAATATTGATTCCAACGTGTTAACATTTTACCGGAATTGTTCGTGGGACCTATTTTTCACGAATGGTAGGCGTTTCGTGAAATTCGCGAAAATTACCGTATAAACTGGAATATAGGTCGAACCGTTGCAAGTTGCAAAAAGCGAAAAAAAGTTTTTATGGCAAGAAAGTGCAACCTTACCTTGGTAATTTGGTAACGAATTTGGCGAAGCATACGGAAGGGCGAGAAAACATGGCATATTTATTTGCTTCGCACGCAATAAAACAGGAAGTGCGCCAGCGTTACTACTCAGATTCTTCAGAACCTTCGTTCGACGACGAGTTCACTGACGCAATTCAAAGGGACGATGCCGTCCCTTTGAATTGCACCCTTGAGAGCCCGGAGGCATGAGCGACCTCGACGGCTTTCGTACGGATGCACTCCGACGTCACAGGTCTGGTGTGTAGATTCCGTATGAAATTTGCCACCTTTGTTTCCAATTCGGGGTACACCGCAGTCCTTCCACGAAATGAAGTTTTCTTCGCCTTGCTGCACGCTGCCAGTTTTTGTCTCTGGCCTCACCGGTAGCGTATGCTCTTCTCTGATACACTGAACTCTCGCTGCGCTCCAAGATTCCCGTAAATCTCTGCATAGGCAATTGCCTTCTTGAAGGCTACTGTGGACTGTCTTCTACTCCTGCTCATTATCACTCTGGGAGCGGCAACGGTAGATGTAACGAAACAAGGAGTACAAGTTAAAGTGAAAGTGAATCGTGACTGTCGCGACAAGTGGACGAGTGCTAGGTGATTGCAAAGGAAAACAAGATGGCGGCTTCAGCCACCCGTGTTGCGAGATTCATTTTTGTTTTCCGCTGATGACCATTATATAGACGAGGGTCAACTTTTTCAGGTCCATTTTCAAAAATAAATTTGACTTATATTTCGGTTTGTACGGTAGGTCCTTGCGAAAATTGAGTCATTTACAGTACTTGTCAGACAGATCCATGTTGGGAGCTTGAATTATCTTAATTTCCGAGTTACGGACCCATTAATGCATAGGGTGGCATCGTTTTTTCACGGGTACACCTTGGGGGTCGGTTTCACCTCGGCAAATTTCAAGGCATGTGGCATCTTGAAATTTGCATGTGTCACCCTGAAAGTGTGGAATGACACCCGAGATTCATTTTAGTTACTTCTCAAGGATTGTCGATGAATACATTACATCACTGTCGCTGAATGTCCTAAGAGGGCTGCAGTCTGTAACATTAGCCATGGAAGTAGATCCAGCGAATCAAGTTGCTGGATTGACTGGTGTCGACTGCCTTGGTGCGAAGAAAAAAAGGAAAGACGTATCTGGAATTTTTACAGATTTACTTCAAACAGCTGTGGCTACATTCGTAAGCTTGTTTCCGTGTTCGTTTGTGTTAGTGATTACCGTATTGTAGTCCCTAATGTAATTTGGAAAAGAAAATTGCCGACCTTTTTGCCTACTGTGGAGCAAGCTCTGCCAGCCTTGCGCGCGCCCAGTTCGATATTGCTGTGTCTCCATTCTGAAAGCCGATTTCTTCCCGGGTGCTGAACGTTTCTAGAGCTTTTGACTACTCTAGCTGGGTACATTCAGTGAGTATACATTACACGAGAAAAATTAGTAGCGAGTTAACACCTGTGTTTTTTTTTTATTTTTTGCTTTTCGAGATACTTCTTTTTTTTTTTTTCTGCTTATAAATATGCCTGATGAAAGGGCTGCTGTAGTTGAGTCTAAGTGCGTCCCATACACATTTGGAACAGCAGTTTAAAATTTTGTTTGGCCACTGTGGGTGCTGTGCGTGGGCCACCCACAGTGCCAAACTGTAGTGCCCCTCCGCAGGGGCACTACAGTTTGGCAACCGTGCTCACTCCTTAGCAAGGCCTGAAGGTCGATGTGTATGCACTAGCAGAGAAATGCACTATTGCTAGCATGGCCTTTGGTCATGCTAGCCCCATTGCTAGCGTGCCCAGTGGCGATGCTAGCAATTCTGTATACTGTAAAGGACTCAATTTTCGCAAAGACCTACTTTTCGCCAATTTCGCAAATCGCCCTCAATTCGCGAAAATTACGTCCCACGAACAATTCGGGCGATATGTGAACGCTCAAAAGCTACACTTGATTCGTGAAAATTAGAACCCGCGAAAATTAAATCGTTTACAGTATATAGTCGGTAGAGTGTGCAAATAATGACTCTATGCTTGTCTTTAATTATGAAGAAATGATAGGGGTGTTAAGAACAAGATAACTGTCATACATCCTTTGCGTTTTAGAGTATAGCAACAGTGATATTTCTTTTAGCTCAGGAGAGCCGCGGCACTGCCGAAAGGCAAGTTGCCCGTTCGACGAAGGCCTGCGGCAATGCGTGCAATGACGTGCAAAAAAAAAAAAGACATTGCATCATCTTTGTGTCACCGATCGTCGTCGTCTGTCATCGACGCAGCTGATGTCGTCCTCTTTTCTTTCTGTGTGTCGCAGATCTCCAAGATGACACGCCAGAGTTACAAGAGAAGCTTGAAATGCTCAACAGCATCATGGATCAAGAGGTGAGGGGCAAGAAATCAAAACGGACTGCAACTTTGCAATTTGTATTTTGCTGTAACATAAGATTTGAAAGAGAAGTTCGGCCTCCAGCGCGGGCTCACGAGATGCTAAAGTGCTCTTGAATGTAGAAAACCTTCATCAGAGCTGTAAAGCTTCAGCTGCAGGGCTTACGTTGCAACAGACTATATAAGGTATCATTGACATTTAGGCGCTCAGAGCTGAAAAATCATCACCAGCGCGTAATGGGCTGAAAACTCCTATTAAAGGTGTAGCGGTCGATTTGAGCTTGGGAAATCTCGAGATGTTGCATTGTTGCGCTAAAAATGGGAATGAATTAATCGGATATTCGAATGCCAGTCCTGGATTCGGACGGCAGACCCTCATTTAGAGTGTTCTCGCCAGGAGGTAGCATCACAGGTAATTGAAATCAGATCTGTCTAGTTATGTCACGCGTGGTCTACTTGGTGTGCCTAGGCATAGACTCGCTTTGAGGAGATTGCAGCACAGATATACACTATACAGACATACAGACATACAGGTTGGAGAAATGCTAGTAGCAAATTGCTGTTTATTTTTTTTTTTTTTTAGAGCGCAGCTTTTAGGCGCTTGTTTCCGGCTTGAGTGGCGTCGCCATCGGTGTAACTGCGCGTTGCATTATGGGACGTTTCCCATAATGACGTCACAATGGTGGAGAAAGAAAAGGAGGAGGAGGTGGAGGAGGGAAATTTTTTCCGCTAAATTTAGTGGAAAAAGGTCCCTGCAAAATTAAGCGGAAAAATTTCCCCGTTAAAATCGGCGTAAAAAGATTTCCCGCTAAATTTAGCAGAAAAACTTCCCTGCTAAATTCAGTGGGAAAATTTTCCACTACGTTTAACAAAATTTCCCCGCTGAATATAGTGCTGAAATTTTCCTGCTAAATATAGCGAAAAAAATTTCCCCACTAAATATAGCAGGAAAATTCCACGCTAAATTTAGTGGAAAAATTTTTGTTAAATTTAGCGGAGACTTATTTCCGCTAAATATAGCGGAAAAATTCTTCCTTCATTTAGCGGCAAAATTTCTTTGTTAAATTTAGTGAAAAACTTTCCCATTAAATTGAACAAAAATTTTCCCGCTGAATTTAGTGGTAAAATTTCCCCGCTAAATATAGCGAAAATATTTGCCCACTAAATTTAGCCGGAAAATTTCCGGTAAATTTAGCGGAAAACTTTCCCCGCTATATTTAGCGGAAACATTTCCCCGCTATATTTAGCGGAAATACTTCCCAGCTAAATTTAGTGGGAAATGTAGTGAAAATTTCCCGTTAAATGGAAGAATAGCAGGAGAAGAGGAGGGGAGGGGAGGAGGGGGGAGGAGGCGCATACCCTCTCCTCCGTACCGTCCCTTCTCTTCCTCAAGAGCTGCGCTCTAATTCGGCTCTACAGAGAGTTGTAAACGTCTTTCATTTTTTAGGGGCAAAGCTCATTAGGGACTAGCCATGTCCATATGTCCGTCCGGTGCACGTGCTCCTGCTCGTAAGCTCACGTGCTCGTGTAGGGCAAAAAAAAAAAAAAAATGCATCTCCACGTGGTGAATGATGTTGATTGGGGCGAAGCTTTGGTGGTGCCTGTCTGCGTAGACGCTGAGCCACAGCATGCCGAGCCTTTCGTTCGTTTTCATCCATGTTACGCTGTGGTCAAATGCTCGAATGCGTATATAACCACGTTCCATACCACACATTCTCTTTCTGACGTGAATGAAAACGAACGAAAGGCTCGGCATGCTGCGGTTCACCGTCTACGCAGACAAGCACCACCAGAGATTTGCCCCAATCAGCATCATTCACCACGTGGAGATGCGGTTGTTTTTTTAAGTCCAGCTTTAACATTAATGGACACGTATCTTTAATTTTAGACTGAAGTTGATTATGCACAAAGATCATCTTCAGTTTTATTGACTGTTGTCGTGACGGCATTTTCCAAGCGCAACATGTGGCGCCACCTCTGAATCGGAGCAGAACACAGCAGTAGGGGCAGGCTGCACCTGGGTCTGGTGTCCGAATCTAGTGATTTAATTTTTATTTTTCACCAATGCCTCGAAATTTAGCAAGGTAACACTAACCCTTGACATAGACCTTCGATGAACACTGTGGCTCATAGGAAGCAGACGTCAGCAAGCATAAACATCCAAGTAAATTTTGCGGATTTGGTTTGAGATAAGCCCGACGTCTACTAGCTTCTTTATACCTTACTGTCAAGATTCTGAATGAGCGCCCAGCCTAAAAGATTGCCGATGACATTTTTGTGGCTAATTAATTATATGCATAGCAAAAACACAAACGTTACACACCCCTTGAAATCCATGTAACTGCATGATGGGACCCCCTCCGGCTGCCTCACACCCAACCAGCAGTTAATGTGCCGGGGATCTAAACTGGTTTATTTAGGGAAAATCTATGTCTGGACACGCGTACGTAATGTATAGACACTACTTTACTGCAGTTGCATTGTAGCAATCAACACTTAATTTGAGTGGACGAAAAAAAAAAAAAAACTGCTAAAACCACAAGTTTCCAAAGTTTATAATAGTTTTATACTATGAGGAAACCTGAAATATGGAAAGTCATAATAAAGGAAACGAAAAGAAAACTGCCGCATGCACGCCAGCGAGCTGGCACATTATTGCATGCCCATTGTATTGGTGGCAGCTTGCGTCCCCTAGCTGACAGCAGTGGCAGTAGCGGCTATGGCAGTGGAACAAATGCGAATATGGGCTGCATACGCCGGTAGCCGGCGCCACACCTTATACCCAGTCTCTGCTCTGTCGAATGCTGTTTTCTGCATACAAAGAATCTGCAATCGTCCTTGTACACGTCGAGAATTATTTTCTGCATCAATTGGTGAAATTCCTTGTAATGACCTTCTTAAATTTGCAGTATGTATTTTTTCCTGGGCCATGCTAGTTCATGGCGGGGCCTAATCTGTCCATTGCTATCTCTCGTGTAACTTTTCGTGCCCACACCGATAAATATGGGGGTGTATCCTTTGCTGTTTATCTCTTCACCAGGAGAGGGCATTCTTTCCAAACTTATGGTGCTTTTTTTGTGTACTTTTACAATGTGGTAATTTCTGCTGTGCTTTGGTACTATGACATACAGCCAACGAATCATAACATCTTGTGCCTGCATTGTTCTTTATGCTTTGTGTCGTCTGAACTGTTGCAGATCACAAGCTTCAGGGAACAGCAGAAGAGGCCACTCCATACGCTGAACTGTGAGTTTTGACAGACACATTAAGTGAAGCATTAACTGACCCAAGGCATTCGGGGGTTTGTTAAAAGTTGTTTGAAGCATTGGCAGCATAAAACATTCCTAAAATTGTTTACTAGGGGAAAATGGTTGCGGGGCGGCAACTCTTCTCACTTTCAAGTATTTTTGTGGTATGACCGTTACCATCACCTTGTTTGTGGTAGCGGCATGACATATGTTTGCTCTACAACCGCCTTTTGCTGCCCAGTGAGTGGTCGAACTAGCAGGCATCAGTTTCATGCCGAGTTTGTTTCGGGCCTCAACAGTTCCAAAACTGAAATGTCACGCATACAGTAAAAGCTTGCTGATTCGAATTTTAAGGAGGTACCAAACCAACATTCTAGAGGATTTTGGTGTGGTACTCAAACTAATGGCAACATTACGAAACGGCAATGTGGTACAGCATATAGTCTAGGACTGCTCGTGACATAACTCGGAATTCGGAATTTGATGCCAGCTAGAGAACAAAATGCGTAAAGGACGGTCAGAGCTCAATTGCTAAACTCATTGAAGCGCAACAAGGTGTAGCTGCGCAGCTTGAAGCGATGGATGGATAAATGGAATGGCTGAACTATAAGTTGGGCTGCAGCTGGTGCCACGTGGTGGTAAGCGGTGCGGCAGACGGCCGCAGTTACTAGCGGCGGAGCTGATTTGCGAGCGAAATGTTGGGATTCCTTTAATGTGTAGCTCTATGCCATGTAGTAACACCGTGGCTCTGGGATAAAATACTGTAAACGACTAAATTTTCGCGAGGACCTAATTTTTGCGAATTTCGCGAATCGCCTACAATTTGCGAAAAATACGTCCCGCGAACAATTTGGGCAATATGTGAACGCTACGGAAGCTACACTCGATTCGCGAAAATTAGAACCCGCGAATAATTTCAAATTTTCAGCTTTGGCCCGATTCGCGAAAATTTAAGCCCCCGAAAATTTAAGCCCACGAAAATCAAGTCGTTTACAGTAATCTAAATATTCAAATTAATGTTGAGTAAAGTAATGAGATTTTACTGTACTACCTGTACCGTAACATTAGTAAAAGTTTAGTTGAGATTTGAGTCAAGCATTGGCAGTTGAGTATCGGACACCATTAGTTGACAAGATAAAGCAGACAACACCGGCAGTCGACACATTTGCAAACAAAGCAGACATTTGTAAACAATGTTAATTTTGACTCAGCCGTGAAAAGGGCAGGCACATTTACTAGAGAATATTAGTAAACAACCTTGGTTTATGCACTATTCAGGAGAACCATTTGCAGATGACTACTACCAGTAGACAACATTAGCTAACAAGATGACACAATCTATGCTATCAGAAGACACATTACCAAAGAAAGCAGACATTATATTAAAAACCTGAGCTGATACGATTCAGCGGAGGTAAAAGCAGATATTATGAGTAATAAGAAACACAAAACATTAGTAAATAACTTTAGCTGATAAGAGATTAAGCAGAGGAAAAATGCGGGCATTGTTTGTAGAGAACTTTAGTAAACAACTTTAGTTGTTACAAGATTTAGAAGCAGCATTAAGAGATGACCCCGGAAGACCAAACTTTCTGGTTCACACATTTGCATCTAAGTGTGATCTATTGCATTTCAACTGTTTGTGACCACTTACAATGAGTGAACAAAATGGCTCACTGGAATCGTCTATTCGGGCAGCTCTGAAACTTTTCCAATTCTCGTATAGCTACCATAATATCCTGGGCGATAGCCCAATTAAAATTGATAAGAAATTGGGTGAAAAGAAGCAGTGGGCAAACTTTCAAAGGTTGACCAAAAAAAAAGGAAAAACATTTTGTGTCCAGGCTGGGGGTGCAAAGTCTCTAAGGAATGGGAAAGTCGGTTTCTTCGCAGTCTATTCACATATGTCATCACACCTGCTGTTGCAATGTGAAAGTTATTTTACACTTGCCGATCGATTTCCACAACATCCTCGCAGGACTGTCACTCACCCCAATAAGCGAATGTACAACAGCTACTAAAATTTCAGATGCCGTTCAACTCTGCTTTATTTTGCCTTTTTCTTGTAGTCTCGACACCACACCCCATTTCCTAGGCAATACATATGCTGGACTGTATGTTTCAGTTTTGTCGTAGCCAACGTTCGAGGTTTTTTTTCCAATCGGCCTAGTATCGAAGCCATCTTGGCTGGCCAAACATAGTTGCCAAGGGGTTTCAAGTGACGCCATTGGAGGCCCCGACGAAAGTGGAATTTTTGGCGAAATGTTGGTGGTGAAGAAAGCCGTCCTGTTACCGCCAAGGTAGCTCGGACAATTAAATTTTTATGAGTGCTCCATCTTTGGGTTTTTTTGCGTGAATAGAAAACAATGCATAAAACTGGCGACGGCTACTTTTTAGGGAGCGGGCCATCTTTAGGGACATTGCGGTAGACCGAAGGTTTCGCAGCGTTCGCGATTTCAGATCAACGAACCATGTACGAGAAATGGTTTTTCATAACGTCGTCGGAACTCGTTGCAAGCCCACGACGAAAGAATCAATCGTACAAAATTGGGAAATATATATATATGCAGAGCGGAATTGTTCCAAGGCCGCTGGCTAGATGGCGGCAGCACGCTGTCTCGTCGTACGAGTGTTCACGAGGCGCCCCAACCAGCGCGTTTATGTGCCCTAGAAGGCGATCCCCCGATTTCCGCCCCACGAAGGTGTAGAAGCGTCGCATCGTCGCCGGCTGCGACCCTGGCAGCATCGCAGTGGCGGCGGCGGATGTTGCAGACGCCCGTTCCGCCACAGGGAGTTCTCCGGCTCGACTTTCCCCAGAAGTTTCGTCAGCTGGGAGTTGGAATGACCGGAATTTGGGACTGCCTTCGATGTGTGTGCGGGACGGAATGCTATGGAATCTCGTTAATTCAAACTTGGAAATAATTCAAACTAACATGCAGGTCCCGTCTTTTGTGTTTCTAGGAAGGAAGCTCCCGGTAATTCAAACTTTGCATAATTCAAGCAAAGTCCTGGTCCCCTTAGTGTTCAAATTAACGAGATTCCACAGTAACACCGGTCAGAGACATGTTTTGGGCAGCGTGCTTTAGCCGACGAGATCAAGCGGACGGTGGCGTCGGAGAGAAGCGTCCGACGACGGCCATTTTCAAAGCGAGACGAGAACGCAGGACTGAGCGTCCTAAATTGTGCGGATGTTGTGGGTAGAGAAAATGAGTAAACGACTTTAGTCGACGTGAGAGAAGGCGGCGTTAGCGGACGACCTCGGCAAATTGCTCGTCATCCGGGAAGGCAAAAGCGGGCAATGGCGTCGTAAAAAGGCATCTGCCGATAGCCGCGGCCGACGGAAGTCGAGAACCCCGTACGCAGCGTCTGAAACGTCACTTTGCAGCGGGCATCTCGGAGGACAGCGACTACACGAGCGACGTGGGCTACCCCGCGTCGGCGCAGCACCCGCACCAGCACCACCAGCAGCAGCCGCAGCAGCCCGGCAGCTCGGCGCACCACCCCAACAGCTCGGCGTCCCAGTTTGGGGCCCAGCAGCTGGCCAGGGGAGGGGCGAGCCTGGCCGGGGGCAGCGGCGGCCTGCAGCAGCAGCAGCAGGGCCCCCTCTACGCGGATTCGGGGGGCTACGGGGCGGCGGACTACTATGCGGAGCCGCTCTACTACAACAGCCGCCCGCCCCACCACCAGCTACGCAGTGCACGGGACGTCGAGCCTCCTCCCAGGTTTGTCACGAGTCGCTTTTACGCGTGCCTTCTGTTTAGGGTAAGATAACATGGAGCCCTACCCTGTTACTACCCTGCTATTTTACCTTCTGTACTGTAGTCTGCGGGCTATACGTGTTCGAGCTCTGGATGGGCCTGGGCCAACGCAAAAACCTGGGTCCAGCCCGACCCGCGGTCTGGGCCGGGCAAAGTAGCACGCATTGTTCTCGAGCCGGTCTGTGTTGGGACCTGGACCCGAGACATGCTTTATCTCCAGCTGTCGAGGCACCTTTGGACAAGGGACACTTTATTTTTCAAAATTTCACCCGGTCTCCACATCAAAATTTGTCGAGGCAGCTCCAGTCGGAGCGGGCTTGGGCCGACCTACACCTGGGCTGGATCAGGTGGGCGTCGCCGAATAAGACTTAGAGTCAACAGGCCCAAGCCGGATCGGTCTTCAAAATGTTGGCCCATGCAGCGCTCTAATACATTTTTAGAAGTTCAAACTTTCAGCAATCTGGATTTTGTACTGTGCAGACTTCTATGCAAGGATTTGTTTTTTTGAAGGTTGTTTTTTATGACAAGGTGTGATGGATGTTTGTAAATGACAGATTATAATGATTTCCATATAATACATAAGCTTTGTAATTCTTCAAGGTGTGCCGTGTAGCAGAATTTGTTTATATGTGGAATATGCAGCAGGTGTGGATCATGCACAGGGTGGAAACTATTCACCAAGTGCAGCTAGACTATCTAAGGGAAAACGTTTTGTAACCAAATTTTGCCCCTGCAGATTATACACCAGGTGCAGACTATACTCTGGAAAATACCGTTCGCGAGGCAGCGAGCAGTTTCTGTTTGTGACGATATACGGAAAATAGGTTGAAAGCCAACCGCCAAAATCTTCCGTGGCAGGACCGACACTCTTTTTCTTTCGTTTTTTGCACTTGCCCGCGGGAGAATATCTTGTGTCAATGCCTCATAGACGATAAGTCCAGAGTGGTGGATTATTGATGTCACCCACTGCAGGCCAGTGTGGGGTATTGGGACCGTGCGCAACACCTGTAGGTGGGGGGCGTTGCTCCACCTTGGCAGCTGGTTGGCAGTGTCACTAGCGGCAGCTTCCACGTTACGCTGCATAGTGAAGTGCTGCCCGCTCCGTCCTATGTTAATGCGCCCGCAGTGTCTCCGCCGTTTCTGCGCCTTCCCGCGGCGGCCATGTCTCTCGATCTCCCTCCGCCGAGTAAAGGTTTCGCACCTTGAGATTCAGAACCTACTTACGTCCAGCGGAGTAAAGGTTTCCCACCCTCAGATTCGACGCCTACTCACGTCCAGCCGAAAGTTAACTTTCAGACTTCTCGCGTCCAGCTGAAAGTTAACTTTCAGACTTCTAGTCCGAAAGTTGAACTCACGTTCAACTTTCGGACTAGAAGTCTGAAAGTTGAATTGTTCGGACAAAATCGTCGCGAGCGATCAGTGGCAAACGCCGCCGAGAAGCCGCCAATTCAGATTTTATGTTGGCTGCACAAAAGTCGGCTAGGTTCGGCAGCGCTACTCGAGTTTGGCCAAGTCCTACCCCCGGGTGACGCTATGCTGCGTCTTTTTTTTCTCTCTAGCTGAGCACCATTATCATAATCATTGTTATCATTTTGCTTTGTTTATTTGCATTCTGCAGTCGTGAATTTGCGCCTCTACATCTCGTCTCAGTGACTCTCGTTTTCGAGCTACGCTGGCTTGAACGTCGTGGCCCCTCCGCCTCCGCGAAGTGTCGCTAAGAAGCGTGGAAAGTATTCGACCATAACACTAGAAAAGAAGGCAGCGATTCTAAAGCTAATGTGGAGCGCAAGTTCGTCTGCTTCTTTTGCAGGTGTTGCGATGACGCAAGAACACTGACCTTTGATTAGTTTTAAATGAAGGAGTGGATAGACCTCAAGGCAGCTTTCTTTGAGATCTACCCACTATCTTTCAATCAGAGCCAATTGGAGCTCGGCGTCTTTCTGACGTCATCGCAACTCCTGCGCAAGAAGCAGACGACTTGCTCTCTGCATGAAATGTGGCCGAACGCAAGTGGAGGCATAACCTGAAGCAAGGCACTATCGACGGCTTTTTCAAGCTCGCTTAGATGTAATAAAGACAAACTTTCTAATCTGTCGAATTTTCAAAAGTTTTTTTAGTCCCTGCGAAATTTGAAAAAATCGGTCGGCGACTGTAGCATAGAAATCATAAATTCATTTCATATTGTCAAACGCCGTGGTTTTTATATTTTTTATGAAGTCACAAACATTTGTTAAAACGATGGTTTCATTAGGAAGTCTGCTCCATTCCTAAGATTTTCTTGGAAAGAAACTAAATTTAAAATAATAACTTTTATTGGCTGCTTTCTTAATGTATGCGCTATGATGGTGTCGCATACGTTAACCAAAGTGCACATTCTTGTAATTATTCTTGCCGATTTTAACTAAGCTATTAAAGATTAGGAAAATGAATTTTTTGGCGGTCACACTTCGTTCTTAACTCAAAAGCAGGGAGTTCGGCAAGTCTACAAAGTTCAGTAAGTGAATGAAAACGATGCACATATTTTTTTAAAAGATAAACCTGGATGCAAGCCGTTGGACTTGTCAAGTTTTGACAAATTTGTTACTGTAAGATTCCATACTATTTTTGCATATTTGCAAACAGGTCTCACAAATATTTTGTAAGCCAGTTTTTTTATTATAGTGAATTACTTGTGAGATTTATTCATTGATACTAAGTGCCTGGTTAGCTTTTGCGGCATATTTCATTGTAAATCACTTGTGAACATCAAACTTAAATACCTACTTATTTTTGTCCACACGGACTAGTTTTGTATCACCTGTGGAAAAGTCATAACTTAAGAATTGCTTTTTTCTCGTCAACGAAATAGGGATAGATTTCCGAGGGTTTAGCAGCCTTTGCCATTTGTCTCACCAGTGTTTGATTTTGAGCAGATTGTTGCTTAGGTTAATTTGATTTTGTTGTACAATACACAATCATCAGCAAAGCACTTACCGTAATTGGAACCGATATATCACAGCGGATGTCGTCTATGAACGATATAAACAAAAGTTGGCCTAGCACACTACCCTGAGGTAATCCTGAAGCAACAGGAGTGATCCCAGACACACTGCCTTCAGACTCTGCAAATTGTCTCTCGACAATAGATATGAGCAAAACCAGGTTGTAATCATTAAGTTCCTAAATAATAATAATAATTTTGAGTAATCATTTAGGATGAGACACTTTATCGAAAGCTCTTGCTAAGTCCAAAAATATTATGTCTGTTTGACCACGGTTATTTATTTTGGGAAGGTCATGTACTTTTTCAATGAGTTGCGTCATTGTATAAAGAGACTTACCGAATCCGTGTTGATACTGATATACAAAATATTTTGATTTTTAATGGATACATAACATGTTTTAAAACAATGTGTTCAAGAAGTTTTGAGCATGTACTAATGAGGTGTACAGGCTGGTAATTATTTAGACATGAAGTCGATCCTCTTTTGTGTATAGGAATAATTTTGCCAATCTTCGAGGGTTTTGGCACAAAACTATTATTTATTGAGGACTGAAAAATTAGAAGGTAATTAGTGGCCCATTCAGCATACCGCTCTGAAGGGACACTGACAGGGTATTTATGCTCACCAAGGTTTTTATTTGTACATGACATATGAGAGCCCAACTACCCAGAACACAATTTGCAGCTCGAAATTAATTTTCTTTCCCCCCGAAATTGTCGATCGAGAACTGGCCGGTTTGAGTCGCGCTCACTCTCTTCTTTGTGGTCATGTGCTGTTTTCTATGGTTTAGACACAACCACCAAAGATAACCAAAGCCGTGGGTCATCGAAGGCACACACTCAATACTTGAAATCGACAGAAAATATGATACCCATTTTTTGTGGCTTCTAAAAAGCTGCAAATACTTTAATTGAAAAAAAAAAAAAAAAAAGAGTTGCACAGTTAAGTGATTTCTGGCAATGCTGTCCTCCTCTATATTTCTTCTTCCTCCCCAGTTCAGTTTCGGTTTCGAGCAGTTGTGGTTTTTTACTTAAAAATATATGTGATGCTGTAGCAAAATATTGATTGACTAGTCTTCGGACACCATGTTAAATTGCCTGGTAAAAAAAATGAAAGCCGCTTACAACTCCCTTAAACGCCGAATTAGAGCGCAGCTCTTGAGGAGGAGGAGGGAAGGGCACTGGGGGGGGGGTTAAACTAACCAGGGGGAGGTCACGTGACCTTGGGGGTCACGTGACCCCCAATGCCGATGATGTCATCACTGACGTCACTGATGATGTCATCAGTGATGATGATGATGCGGGTACCGATGACGTCATTAGTGACGTCACTGATGACTTCACCAGTGATGATGACAATGACGATGCGAATGTCGGTGACGTCATCAGTGACGTCGCTGATGACGTCATCAGTGATGATGACGATGCGGATGCCGGTCACGACATCAGTGACGGCACTGATGACGTCATCAGTGATGATGACGATGCGGATGTCGGTAACGTCATCAGTGATGATGACGATGACGATGCGGATGCCGGTGACGTCGTCAGTGATGATGACGATGTGGATGCCGGTGACGTCGTCAGTGATGATGACGATGACGATGTGGATGCCAGTGACGTCATCAGTGATGATGACGATGACGATGTGGATGCCGGTGACGTCGTCAGTGATGATGACGATGCGGATGCCGGTGACGTCATCAGTGATGATGACGATGACGATGTGGATGCCGGTGACGTCATCAGTGATGATAACGATGACGATGTGGATGCCGGTGATGTCATCAGTGATGATGACGATGCGGATGCCGGTGACGTCATCAGTGATGATGACGATGACGATGCGGATGCCGGTGACGTCATCAGTGATGATGACGATGTGGATGCCGGTGACGTCATCAGTGATGATGACGATGTGGATGCCGGTGACGTCATCGGGGGGTCACGCGACATCGGCGGAAGACACGTGACCTCGGGGGGTCACGTGACCTCGAGGAGGGAATCACGTGACCTCAGGGGAGTCACGTGACTTCGGGGGGTCACGTGACCTCGGGGGGGGGGGGGGGGGGGGTCACGTGACCCCGGTGGGGGACTCGCGCGGTGCATTATGGGACATTTCCCAGGATGCACCGCGCGGTTACGCCGACGGCGACGCCGCTCAAGCTGGGAACGGGCCCCTAAGAGCTGCGCTCTAAAATTAAAACAAAATTTGTCAGTGTCCCTTAAAAATGCATGTAGAATTTCGTCAGCTCTGGGATTTTTTCTTATTGACAATATTAAGTAAGAGGTCTAGAACTCTCTGCTCTTGAATTATTAAAGGGATACTTCAACGAAATTTGAAGTACTCCCGCCGTGTTCAAAAATAGGTTGAATATGATCCACAATATCTGTAAATGACAATCGCACGTTTGTATTTTGAGCCCGGTGGCTGTATTTTTCGTTATAAACGGCCCACTCTGGCAAGCGCTCGGAGAAGGCCCAGCTTAGAACACGTGACATCCAACGCAATCGTGACGTAGGTCGTCTCAAGACGAGCAAAGCTACGGCGAGGCTGACGTCGAGAGAATGGCCTAGTCGTTCCAGCCACCGAAGCGGCTGCTTTTCTACGAATTTTGAGTGACGGGTTAATCTTCTGTAATCTTGTAGGGGGACAATAGCGACTTCTGCGACACACAAAAGGCAGTCTTGGGAAGAGGGGAGTTCCTCCTTTCCCTCTTCTCTCGTCGTGGCCGGAGGCGAGACAACCTCCGTCACTAGCTGTCAAGGTTCCTAGACGGGCATTACAAGCGAGGCGTTAGCGTCATCCACCAGGTGCTCTTTTCTAATCGTTCAATTCGTTTTTAAATTCCTTTTCGTGACTTTTTTAACAAGATATTGGTATGTTCGATGTAGTGCTGCTCCTTTGAACACATATCGATTGTCTTTTTTCCAAAGACGATCGATCATGTCAGGGCGCAAGTTCGACGTCACGACTGTCGTTTTATGATCCGAGATTCCTTCAAAAAGTTTGCATTTCGAGAGAGAAGATGATAGGTTTGAAGAAGCAAAGATTAGGTCAGCAGACGACGTTCGTGTGTGCTCTGTGACGACCCAAGTTAAATTATAGCAGAACGAAAGTTTTAATACCTAGTTGGTCGCAGTTAGTCACATCAGTGCTTCCCGGGGAAAGCTTATTCCAATCAAGGCCTGGTAAATTTAAATCGCCCACTAACAAAGTGTTTGTATCGTGACATACTGCAGAGTCGGTTATACTGCCGCAGTCTGACTGAGATGTCAACCGGGAAATTTGGCGGTCTTTATATTCTACCCAAGACAACAACTCGGTCGTTCAACTCAATCTCAACCTATAAAGCTTTTGACGTTTTTAACCTCTTCCAGTACAGTAAAAGCAACATTACTTTTAATCAAAAGTGCCAGAATTCCGCCACACGCTCCTCTGTCTTTCCTAACTGTGGTATAGCTTGGCGGCGTAATGCCAGCACCTAAAATGGTGCGATGTGGCCGCGTTTCTGTGATCACCATAGCATCGGGTTTAAGTTCGAGAACGATGCTTTCAAACGGCTCAACTTTTTGCGATGCTCATAGCTTCTATGGTAATAAGTTTGAAGCTCTATTGGTTGTGATATCATTGATCCCGAGATTTCAGATATGGTGCCCACCTATATCTCGCATTCCTAGCCTCGTTCCAAGCGTAGAGGACATTGGTTTACCTTAATTTTGTCAAAGACTAGTTTAGCTTTTGTTCATCAACTGTAGAGTTCCACAAGCTTTTCCGGATTTCCAGGACTCCTTTCGAGAAATCTTCATTAATGCTGATCTGTCCCCTCAAGCTTAAGGCGTACTCTGGCGATTTTGGGAGCTACCCCAACTAACTATATTTTCGGTATCACCGGCCTTTACCCTTTCCGGTATGCTATTTAGTATCGCGAAATTCAGAATAGTTATCGTAAAATTGTCAAGTGAAAATGATGCGAAAAGCAACATTAAAATATACCCGCACCTTTCAGCGCCATGACGTCGGTGGAAGGTAAACTTCCAGGTCCAGCGGGCAGTCTAAAAATGGACTGTGCCAAGCAATTGGTTTGTGGCGCTGTGCAAGTGCTGGAGCGAGCTTCCAAAGCGTTCATTTGACACCATGAAACTGCTTGTAATCTGTTGGGAACAAAGTTTACAGTGCAAAGAGTGCATCCCTTCCGCTGACGTCATTTTTTCATTGTTGCCAGTGGAGAATTTTACTTTGAAAAACACTGCGAGTGCCAAAATTTTAAATTTAATGACTTCTCGAAGAATGAAGTATTTTGGCCCAATATTTGGGTTACTATTTGAGTGATGTTTGTTGGTGTGTTTAGCAAATATTCAGGCAACTCGACGATTATGAAGAAAACAGTAGGGTACCCCTTTAAAGCAGTTGTTATCTTTGTTTTTTCTCGACAGTTAGCCAGTTTCACAATAACTGGCTGACCTCTACCAGGTGTGTGTTTTTCAAGTTTGTGAATTCTTTCAATAAAATCTTTTTTATGACTTTTAGTAGCCCGGCAAGTACCTCATGATTTACACTTCTCAGCAGAATTCCTTCATTTTGTGGAGTCACTTCTTCGACGTACCTGACAATCGGGTTATTTTTACGGGAACGATTTTCCAGATCATCAATTCATTTACGCATGGAGGTTAACTCAAGATATGACCGATAACCTTATTTTCAGTCTGAACAAGTCTGCAACTGGCTTCGTCGACAATTTGCGATTGTCCCTCGGTACAATATCCAGCCTTGTTTGAAGCCCGGTAGATTAGTTTCCGACGCGGCTTGTCTCTCCTGGATTTCCTTAATCATTTGGAGAATTTATTTTTGGGTCGCAGTTCCTCTAGGAGCTGCACCAAGGCACCACTGTCTTGTCGCACGCTTCCAATAGCAAAAACAAAAGTCACGTTCAAAGCAAAGCTATCCAACAAAAACAATAAAACCACTGTCAGAAAAAAAAAAGTTTGTTTCTTTTTGGAATTAGTTGCTTGGCACAGTCCATTTTTAGAATGCCCGCAAAACCTGGAAGCCTACCTTCGACCGACGTCATGGCGCTAAAAGGTGCGGGTATATTTTAATGTTGCCTGTCTTCCTTGTTCTTTTGACGGTGCCGCAACAGGAAGGAGGGTCGTCGCAGCTACGCGGACTCCCCACGGAGCTCCGCGCATTATGCGGAGGCGGACGCGGGCCGACCCCCGGCCTGGGACGAGTCGGCGCGAGAGAGCGGCAGGGGCTACTCCAGACGGCATCCCACGCGCAAGCCCAGTCTGGAGAGGCAGGCCAGCTTCGAAGGGCAAGGCTACGAGGATTCCTCCTACGAGTACCCAGGTGGGTGCCCTGGCACAGAGTTGACACGATTATCTGGAGCAGGGGTCGGCAATCTTTTCAGTGGCAGGCTCCGGTCTTTTGCGGTGGCAGGCTGCACCTTTCTCCGAGCCCTTCATTACTGTTGAATCATGCTTTAACCAAAATGCAGCTGAATTTGAGAAGGCTGTTCCCAAGCCTCCATCTGTCCACTTGTAAGCTCAGTTTTTACAGTGGAGCTGTTAAGGGCTAGGTTCCCCAGGATCGTGTCCGGTATGTCGACGCAAACCTACCTGGACAGCTGCCACCATCTATAAGCGACGGTGGCAAGCACACAACCAGTATGGTTTCCATCGTCGCTCGTAGATGGCGCCAACGTTTCCAGCTATAATAGAAGAATGGATAGTTGGGCGCGTTCGTGGGAATTCATTGTAGGAAACAGCGCGAAAAACAGACGACGACGAAGAAGAAGCACATAGTGTATCGAGTACAGCTTAGCTGGTCTTCCTTCTTCAGGAGAGTGGAAAGACTGGACGTTTTTAACTTTGGTCAAAATATATTCATATTTGTGGCCGCGGAAAGTGCAGTTCCTACATTGGGGTGGCAAGTGAACGACGGATTTGATGTGAACTTAAACATATAGACGTGCTCAGCTATAGTTAATCGACGGGATTTCTAAATCTTCTTGCCAGATGCAAGTAATCTCAAATAAAAAAAAAAAAAGAGCGAGCGAAAGTGATGAACGCAGGTTGTCGGAACATCGCTGCCTAACATACTCTTGCATTAATAGCCACAGTTCAATTGAGAAAATGTTTCTGCAACGTAGAGATCAATATTTTTGAAGTTTTCCCTTCTTTTGAAATATACCAGGCACATGAAAGCACCATCCCGCTTTGGACATGTTTTTCTCGCCTGTGTATGCGGCCACTCTGCAGCGAAGCTAGGGTCGTGGGGTCGCAGTGATGGCTTCACAGGTATTGCTTCTCTGCAATGCACGGGTGGGGGGCAGGAAGCGTGCCCAATGGGGCTGACCCGCTGTGATCAACTCTTCGAAAAGTATGAATATCGCAGCTCATCTTGAAGCGAATATCAAATAGCATTTTTTTCTTAACTAGTATTAGAAATTTGGATGTTAGCACAATCCTAGTAGATTGTATAGGACGCTAAATACACCAGTCAAAGACACGTCCTGGGCACTGTACCACTACTGTGTTGCCTCCTCTTTGTCCTACCACTAGGGGGGACGAAGAGGAGGCGACACAAGCTAGGCAAGAGAGAAAATCCCAAGTGAAGTTGGGGGTAGAGGCTGCGGTCAGTGGGAACGACCCCAAGGGTGCCCAAGGGTGTCCTTTTTGTTCAATAGCGTCTTTTGGTTTTGTTAATTTCTGGTCATTGTAAGGGGCATGTCCCTCCAAACCAGAAGTCTCCCCCTGCTTCACCTCTGGTGGTGTCACGTCGCCCCCAGGAGCTTTCTACCTTCGTGCCTATCGCAGTGTGGTACATTCTTCTGTTGGGGTGCCGAGCATTTGCGATGGCAAGAAGAGAGCTGCTGTTGGCTCACGGCAATCCCGGAGGCCGTGATGGAACGCGTCTGCTTTGCGTCACGTCACATAAATAGCTCTGCCAATTGCCTGCAACCCAGTGACACCCTTGTTCATGGTCACGGAGAAAATATACATGCACGGATAGTAATGCCATCTATGCGATGTGACGCAGAGCAAACGCATTCCATCCGACTCTGAGACCGGTGCCTCCTAATAGAAAAATTGTTTCTATTTTTTTATCCAGGTAATATTGTTTTTTTTTTTTAAACTTTTGTGTACTGTCCGCACCACTAGCATCATATTTTGGTGTATTTCCACCTTTCTTCAATGCTTAGCTTAGTTATGCGAGCTGAAAACCTGAATTATGTTTTCTTTCTCGAACCATCTAGATAGCCTTGGGTAGCCTTGGGTTGAACCTGATTTCTTTTCGTATTTAGGAGTCGAGTTTGCACAGCATGGAGCACTTGTCTTAAGCTAAAGACTTGATGGTTGCACTTTACCTAGACACCAAACCAGGTGACTATTGGCTCAAAGAGAGTGCAGAGAAGGTGGAAGATACTCTGAAAGTGCTGGCAACATGCAGATCGTAAATAGAACAAAATGGGGTGTTACCTGTTCGGTTATTGATTTCAGAAGGTATAGAGATGTGAGACGGCACAAATCAGAAGAAAGAAAAGAGGATAAAAGAGGTGAAATTTAGACATGATGAGAAATGACTGGCGATCGCTTCTTCATATACCTACAGTCACTACATATGCCAGGAGGTTGTTCCTCTCCGACGACATTATTCGAAGAAAAGAGTTGGTGCAAGCTTTTCTCCTCTAGATTTACGTCTATCTAAAACCGATGCTCAATTTGAAGGCATTTGGTTACCGAATCTTTCCTTTTCTAGACACCTCGCCTCTACTTTTGTGCCGTTAGTTCTTCCCCCAATCTCGGTTTCGATTTTATCATTACGCCGGCATTGGTTTGGCAGCGCATCGTCCTTTCTACCCCTCACTCGTTGCCTTTGTTGTCGCAGACACGAGAACCAGGGGCTACCCCGTGCAGCAAGACAGTTACGAGAGCTACAGGGACGAAGCATCTCCGCCGCCCCACGGCCGCAACTGGAACTACCCGCAAGAGGACCCCTACTACCCGTACGACCAACAACAACGGTCCACCTGGGCGACCGCCGCGGACCAGCCCCACGTCAAGGCGATCCGCGGGCTCCCCGGCGACCCGCAGTCCAACGTCGGACCGCAATGCGAACCGTACGGCGGCTACGACAGCGCGGGCTTCTTCAGTGGTGCCGATCGGACTGACGGCCTCTTCCAGTACTCCCCGCAGCACGTGGAAACGACGCGGCCGTTTGGAATCCCCGAGTTCTCCCCGACGCACGACGACGACGACGCTGCAACCTACATCGAGTACCCCGACGGTCAGATGGTCGTTGAATACCCCGACGGAAAGGTGGTCGAGTACCCGACGATCGACTCCGCGCCGATCGTGACGCGGAGCGAGGCGTACTCCGTTCCGACGGATGTCCGCGGCGCCGTGCCGCCGGGTGCGAACCGGCTGCCCCAGCCAGAACCCGAGCCGCCACCGACGGCGGTGTCGGCGCCGGTGGACGAGGCTCCGTCGCGGAGGAGGAGTTTCTACGAGCCGGCGGAGCCGGACCGCAAGCCGGAACCGCCGGGCTTGAAAACGGCAGAGCCAGAGAGGAGACGGAGTTTCTACGAAACGAAACAGCAGCTTGCGCCCGCGTTCGAAGCGCCTGCAAACGCGCGAACGAGCGACGACGCGCCTTCGACGCGGCGGAGGAGTTTTTATGAAGCGAACGAACCGGCGACTGTGCCCTCTCCGTACGAACCGCGAAGCGAACCCGCGAAGCGGAAGGACTCGGCGCCTTTTCCCGTCGACGAGGCCGGGAGCCGGCGGAAGCCGGCACTGACAAGGACAGACGGGAGGCGAAAAGCGTCGCCGACAAAGATGGAGGGCGACGCGTCGTTGGCCCCGCCCGAAGAAGAACACGCGCCGCCGCGGAAGACCGGCGTCTCGGTCAGTTTCTGCGAGGAGGTGAACCAGGTTTACCCTGGACCGCCGGCGTCGGCAGAAGAACCAGTTCCCGAGGAACCGGTTCCGAAGACCGACTCGCTGGCGGTGCCTGCGGCGCTCTCGGCGGCGGCGGCGGACGACCGGCCCCCCATCGTTGCTGTCACGGCCGAACCTGGGATGTCCCGAGGCAAATTGCACTGGCTGTCTGCGTTCAACCGCATCGTGAATCAACTGAACGAGGTCAGTGATTTTTCGGCATGCCTCCCTCTCTTACAGGCTGCAGCTTCCAGAGTCCCGTCGTCGCAGTCGTTCCTGGAGTGGATTCGGGGCAGCACGACCGAAGCCTCGGGGTTAATCCGTGTGGCAGTCGCGCGAGTCGTGGCGTCTGCCTTCTTTTACGACGTGCGAGCGATACAGGCATCGTTATGATGCCTGGAACTCATCTTCAATTGGCGCACTTACCGCATCATTGTTTGAAGTCGCTCAATTTCTGCCTAGCAAAGTCGCCTTAGTGTTATGCTGTTGCCTGCCACGACCCTCGCGGTTGCACAGCGGCGGAGGTGCATGCAGCAGACGCCTGTTACGCTGCAGCTTGTTTGGCAGCCGTACGGTCGATGGCAGCTAAAGTAGACGCCAGATTAAGTGTCGTGACGAAAGCGGTGCAAGCGTCGGTTGGCCTTTTTTGCCAACATCTTTACAGCCGACCACCGGGATCGCGACATTCGACGTCAAGGCACAACGGCTCCCGCAGCATAATCTGTTGCCACATTAGGATCACTTTCAATATATAAGTGGTATGGCAACAAACGCGCCATTTGAAGACACTTTGGGGATGCCAACATGCTATGCCAGTCAAGTTGTGTCTTCTCCTGAACCTTTTCGCTGCACTTGAGCAAAACACGAGTGACTAAAAGACAGTAGCTGCTGTTTGCACCCTCGTTCATACACTTAACAGGGTGCTGGCTGGCTGATCCTGTACTTTGTCGATGAATGTAGGTCGGTATGTTGATGGTGAAAAGCCGCATCACCGAGAATGCAATCATATTCGATAAAACCACTTTTGAACAGCTGGTTTCTGATCAAGCCTTGGTACCTCAACTTGCTGCGATAATCTTTCCCACGGACAAAGATGTGGTGATTACTTTGTCAGGAAGGTAGGTTTTTGATGCAATAGTTAGTGCCCTCGTACATGTGCTGACCTGGGACTGGTTGGAGAACACATATTCAAAGTTCGCAACGTCGCCACAGGGTGGCAGCACAGCGCCATGTAACACCTAGCGACCGAAGATCACCGGTGACGTCTTTTAGCCAGTTTTTGGCGCCGCGCAGTGGGGGACTCACGGGTGTATCAGTGGGGTGCGTGTCGACCCACCCCGGCCACCCGTACGCGCCGCCTCTTGGTGCCCTGCCGGCAACTCAAGAACACCTGAGCCTCGCTGTCCCTCACTGCACCTCGGCTGCTAGGTGTTATGTCACAAGGCTGGCGTGCGGCTTTCGATTCCCTCGGAAGCTCCTGCCTCCAGCTTTGGAGACCTGTGTATGCACACTGACTGTGGTTCCGCTCTTCAGCCTGCCACACTGTTTTTGACGCGTAGTCGTCTTACCATGTCACCCGGCCGTAAGTGCACTCTGTCATTGCCCCTCTATTCATAACATGTATGCACAACAACGAAATGGCTCTGTCGTTTTTCACGAATTGCGTGCAGGTCCTTCATGCACACGCTAAGTGACCTGATCTGCTTGCACCAGGGAGAGGAGGGATTTTGGGAATGTTCAGCTTGTGGAAAAGTGCTGAGAGGCTGCATTCAGCATGGTTTCTTACATATAGCCGCTGTGCGAGATGCTGATATATTTCTTTGAGAATCAGCGTAACGGCAGCAGTGATTTCGGCGGTTTTCTTTTTCCTCGTTCGATCATGGAGATTTATTAATATCCACAAAAAGAAGCAAGCTGTTTGGACAATCGCCTGAATATTCACATTCAGATGATTGTAATTGTAATTGAAGTATATAATTGAAGTATATGACCTATTAGGACTAGGCTCAAATCTCTAGGGAGCTCAGTGCCATGGGTGCCACCAGTCACATGAATACTATAGGGACTATATGTGTAGTGAGGCAATACCTTTTTTTGTTTTAGTGCATAATATGTTCTCTTGGTAACTGCATGCATTAGGTCCTTCCTCTGCATTCTAAGCTGAGGTCACAGCCCCTTTAGGCAATGCTTTCTTTTTTAGTAATGGGGGATCATTGACAATCAATGTGTCAGGTTTGTCTGAGCTATATCCAGCTGTGGAATTTGATCAATGATTTTGGGCAACCCAAGTTTTGTTTTCAAGGCCTTACTCCAAAAACTGTAGGACGCCAGTCTCATCGCCCCAATAAAACTACTACTCTAGTGGTGAGCTTGTACGTCGAAACCACTACTGTAGTGATCTTGGCGTACACCGCGAACACCACCGTAGCGTTTTCTGCTTAACTCGAATTCACAATGCTCACAACTACCGCGTGAAGCAAAGGAGTTAAGGAGTGCTAGAAACACTGATATCCACCGTAGGGGGCGGGATGGCGCATAGCTGTTCTCCAAGCCTGGCGCAAGTGAAGTCTTCGGAAGTTTGATGCTTGTCCCGAATGTCGGGCATGTGCTGGGCTTCTTAGTGCATTCAGTAGATATTTTGGTCTATGCTTTTTTGTGTCTTTGATTGGGTTTTAATACTCCCGTTCTGAATTAATTCCCGAGGATAAGGCATTTGAACATGGGACATACGTGCACTTGATCGACTAAAATCTCAAAATTTTTACATTGAATGGCTTCACAGGAGACTTCTCGGGTCGGCGTGCGCTGTTGCTCCAGAACAAGCAGGCTCTCTTGGTGTGACAAGAAAAAATCCAGCGCCCTTAACGCTGTTCGATCCAGCACTCGGAAGAGTTGAAAAGCCTGTCGAGTGCTTGCTTCCGGGACAAGTCGCTTACTTCCGGTGGCTTCATACCTGTCTGCTCAGTGTGCCATCCAGCCAGTTAGAAAGCTCTGCATAAATCGCTTTTTGAACGTATGGAGCTAAGATTTTCTATAGAGGTGGCAGAAGAATGTGCATTAATTTTATAAAAAAATTCACCGAACTAACTTACCCGAGTAAAAAGTTAGAAATAAAACTTTGAGATTACTTCCTGTGGCGTCCGCCTGCAAAAAAAAAAAAAAAAAAAAAAAAAGGCGTTTGATTGTTGCAACAGCCGACAGATGGCGGCCCGTGCGAACGCAAAAGCGGCCACAACGGGCGCTTCCCTCGACCTCGGCGATAGCAGACGACGTTTCAGAGCGGAGAGAGAAAAAATGCCCTCCCCCTCTCATCATGCTCGTCGTCTGCTACGCCGAGTGGGCTGTACCTAACATCCGACTGACGGTCAAATTCAGTTTAAAATCCTGTGATTTTGGAAATTTCAAGCGCAGATTTTAATATACAAGTTATCGCGTAATGCGATGCTCGATAAAAAGACTAACCGGGTCCAATTGCGCTGTTACCTGGGTGCAAATAAAAAAAGAAATAGAAAAATTGTGTCGAAGTGGTCGGTCCTCCGGTGAAAAGTAAATCCAGTTGCTGTAGCTTTTTTACTTTACAAATTTCGTACTGCTGTGGGCCTTTAGCGACATTGAGTGGAAGTCTGGAATAATAAATTAAAACGTGCTCTCCTGACAAAATAGACGCAGTGGTTGAGGGGTAGTACTGCCGGCTGACTCGACTGCTATTGAAGTAACGGAAAGAAAGATACGCTAGTTGATCCTGAAATAAAACAGCGCGATAGGCTGATCTTGGAGTGGACATAAATATTTTAAGAACGCGAACCACTTCACAACGGCAGCCACGAGCGAGAGTTCGATGATTGGTACAGCTACCCTTTCTAACCTCTGTAGTACAGCCCGCCGGTACAGCCCAAAGATGGAGAGCGGCAATCTCCCAGTTTGTCGTCTGCTAGCGGAATCGGGCGCATGCCCTCTTTCGTTTTACTACAGAGTTTTACCCCGCCGAAACTGCTGAACTTCCCTGATCTTGGGAGAGGGCGCTGCGGTCGAACAAAATGGTGCCGCCCTGAGAGCGTTAAATGGAACGGTCTATAGTCGGTGCATGATTTTTTTTCATTCTACCAAGCATGTCGTCGTCTGCGTGTGCACACTCTGGTACTCTGGCCTCTTTTCTTGTCTGCAACTTTTAAAGAGCCACTAAAAAAAAAAAAAAGGAATTGGTTGAGACACGCATGCAAAAAAAAAAAAAAAACTTTACGCAAAGCTTTTTTATTTTTTTATTTTTTTAGAGCAGTATTGACGGCGCGAGATTTATTTTAAATTTTGCGCGCAAAGTCCATGATGTCACGGAATGGTCATACACTGTTTCCACCTCAACATCTGGTCATTCAATCTCTCCACATCAACGTGATGGCCAAGCCGATTCAAACCTTCTTTACGTGCCCGAAATGCCGAGAGAAAAAAACAAGTGGAAAGGAGGTGGCTACGAACTAAATGGCGTCTCACGCCGTCAAAATCGCTCTTTAAATGTTTTTCTATTTAGCTTTTCACCTATATTTAATTTTTGTGACACGCCGCATTTCTACACAAACTGATGAATTTTTTTAATGGCTTTTTGAAGTTTTTGGACGATACAACCAATAAAGCTAGGCGGGCGTTAAGCCGCCGAAACCACGGGCGTGAAAACTTGGAATGCGCAATTTTTAAGGCGTTCTCCATTGACCACATGACAGTGTTAATTTGTGTTCAATGACATTGCACAAGACGGTTCAGGCAACTGCACCAAGAAGAGGGAACAGTTCATGAATACACCTGCAGTTTCTTCGTACGCTGGATTTCAGACTTGGGCGCGCGGTTTTTGTAGTGTTCTTTTTTAATGACCAGGAGGCAGTCCTAGTTTGTGTCCAATCATATTGTTTAACAGGTTCGTGAAATGCTTTCTACTGAATACACACCCTCATTGGTTCCGAAACGCTACGGAATTTCGGTCCGGTGTGTTACTCGGCCAATGCGGACTCTATGGTGCGCGCTCGCACTCTTACCTTTCATTCAGCCCATCTGCTCCGAATTGACACCTTAGCGGCTCCGACGTCCCCCACCTTAGCTGTCGCAGTGTGTGCTTCACGCTCACGGCGACCACGGTCCACCAAAGTGGCCGAGGTCATGGGAGACGCCATAGAACGCAAGTAAATTTTTATTATTATTATTTTTTTGCCTACGCA